GACCAACAAAGAGGCAAAAAAAGTGCAGTCGAGGCAGTCAAATGTTGGTAAATTCCTTTGTGAGCCAATCAAAATTAAGATCATTCATGAAATGAATTCGTGGCGTATTCATAAAATAATTATTGGTAAAAATCAGTTAATAACTTCTAATATATAGAAAAGCCAGTGCGTTTTGATAACACTACGTTCTAGCAATGGCTTTTATATTATGTCGCTTAGCAACAAAAGTATAACCTAATATTGTTGTTAGTCTATATACTGAAAGTATAAAGTGAAATGTATAGACAACAAAACTGGAAAAAAACTTTTGTTGGTTTTATAATTTAGTCTCCCTTGATTAAACAGATTCGTTATTTATTTAAAACGTTAGTGATATAACAGAAAATAGCTTAATTCAGAAACAATTTAAGTTTAAAATGGAATCAAAATTTTTACTTTCATGATACATTTTATGCACTTGGCCCCAGGCTAGGTTATCCCACACTACGTCTTTACTTTAGGTATATTATATCAACGCTCACTACACTTATAAGGTTTCACGGCACCCCTCCCCATATGGTTCCTTTGCGCCTCCGTAATTAAAATCACAATGGACAGACATTATCGAACTATTCTATCTGGGTAAATGCAGCTTGGTTTTTATGACTGCTCTTATTTCGATAAATCAGTCGTGACGTGACATACAATGGCTTTTATATTGGTTAGATGCTGTAGCAGACTAACAAAAATTAAAGGGGAAAGAACTTCCTCACAATAATCGAAAATTCTCTAAAATTAGGCGCCACTTAATCTTAAGTCACGCAATGGGGTGAAGAGACACTGAAGTTTTTGACTGTCACTGGTTATATTTCAGTCCCCTTTGAGGAATGAAACATATATCAACCTAAATCCCTACCATGTACAGAGAGCCGACAAGTTTTGGATCTCTATGAAATACCCGATTTTGGTTACATTTTAAAAACTTGTGAATCACTATACCTCGTACATAAATTATCAGCAAATGTGTGCTTCATGTTATCTTTCATGTGTTAACAGCTTTCACATCTTAGAGTGAGGAATATTTCATGCATAGAAACCCGCGTAATATTTTTTTAGGTTGACGAAATACATTTGAGCGTCTACGTGATTTTTATTATCTTTTAGTAGTTTGGAATATATATACTTGAGAGATTGGAATTAAAATAACTTTAATAGGAAAATGTATATCACTAAGCACGGTTGTACTCTGTATGTAGGGATGAGCCGGAAAAAATGGCCGACGCATATTGTGTATTGCTCATCAAATCTCTCTTATAACAATCTAAGAAGGAAAAAAAATGGCCGACTTTTATAAACACCTAATTTACGTTTTGGAGGTTTTCAAAAGATATTAAGACTTTGAATTTAGCCAAAAAACATCGCTAAAGTAGAGAATCATTGAGTAGCGTAACAGCCAAATGTTCTGCTGATTATTCTGATTTTGACGTCAGAAGAGCTAGCTCACCAATGTTTCCAGTTATTGCAATGACTTACACATCAAAATGTTGCATTTTCACTTGGGAAGTGCAAATGCAATATATCGTTTCCTTAACTTTTAACACACGATGTCCATCAAGACGACTCATCACGATAGGCTAAAACTGCTGCCTTCATAGTGACTGCCATTCATTATAAAATATTCATTGGTATTGTTTAAAAACAAAAAGAAGGGAACAAGTAATAAAAAAACTAGAAAAAATATGGATGATGTAGGAATGTCAATGCCAAAAAGTACAGAAATAAAGTGGGGATGAATACACAAAACCATACAAAAACCTCTAATCAGTAGCCGCTGAGTCAATGTTACAAGCATATGGAAACTGGCCATTGTAAGACTGTATAGCAGTATTCAGTTTAAATACTTTTATTCAAACCTGAATTGATGCAACTGAAAGGAATTCAACATTTAGTTGTAGATAAAAGTTTTTTCTGGGAAATATTTGGCTACTTATGTAGGGATTTTTGTATGGCTTTGTGTATTCATTCCTACCTTGTTTCTGTACTTCTTGGCACTGTCATCCCCACATCATCCTTTTTTAAAATATTTTTTATTACTTGTATAGATATATTTATATAGTATTGTTCATAAAAATCTGTATTCACGAAACTTCTTCGTACCTTATAGTTTCAGAGACCTATCCACCAGGGTATGACGTACACAAAATTTCATTTCCAACGAACAGAAAACTAGAATGTGCATTTTGTAAAAGAAACGGCGACAGAAAATCATTCACACAATCGCATGTGGTGCGAGACACTATCACGGGGATGGTGGTGTGTCCTGTGTTAAGAAAACATCGATGTGAGGTATGTGGTGCTACGGGGGACAACGCTCACACTAGAAGTTACTGTCCTCGTGTCATGTCCACTGGAAGAAATTTAATTTATAACACTGTCGCTTTAAAGAAAACACCTAGAAATAGCACTGGAAAGCGGAAAAATTAATCGTTTTCGTGAATGACGTTCAATATATATCCTTTTTTTGTACTGTGCTGTAGTTTAGTTCAATTAAGTTTGCTATTTAGTATTAACATATTAATTCCACTTCTTTAAGTTCCTGTCACTATTTATTAAAATATTTACACCAAAACAGGTTGTAACAACAATAACAGCTGTCTTGAGAAGCCCTTCTAAAACTCAGAAGAGTTAACTAGATTAGTGGTTAGCTCTGTTACGTATTAGAATTATTATATTACTCAAGAGGTATCTCAACGGTACAGCAATGAAATAAGTTTTGTATTTACATCAGTATACTCAACGTTTTACATCAACAGATGCAGTGGTATAACTTTTAAAATTCATTTTATGTGTGTAAAATGTTTTAAAGCTCTTCACTTACTATAAATAACATTATGACAGATGTTTGAAGAGCAGGAAACAACATACGAGCAACAGATTATTCATACTTTTTTTATCATACCTAACATATGTCCTCGAATAATATTGCCTATCCTTTAAATATCTAAAGAACTTGCGATATTCTTGGTAAATTACATTGCAAATACCACTTAAACCGAACAATTACCGTTACAAGAGTCCTAGTGGTTTGCCCTTCTCCTGGGTTACTGATAGAAGCGAAATTCGACAAAGTTGATTTAACTCATTGACGAATGGGATATCCAACAGTTGATTTATCTCATTGATGAATGGGATATCCAACAGTTGATTTATCTCACTAACGAGTGGTATATCCAACAATTGATTCAACTCATTGACGAGTGGTATATCCAACAGTTGATATGACTTATTCACGTGTGGTATATCCAACAGTTCATTTAACTCACCGACGAGTGGTATGTGTAAAAAATGATTCAACTCAGAGACAAGTGGTATATCCAACAATAAACTGGACTTGATACTTATTTTCCTTCTCAGTGTGTTTGATATGAGTACGATACTAGAGTTCAAGTTCTATCGATCTTTTCAGTATACGGGTATTTGTAATACAGGGTAACCCAACAAGAGATGCTCCACTGATTTCTTATGAGAGGAATACAATACACTAACGACACAAACGTGCATTACTGAAGTGGGACACTTGGCTTGTAACAATGTCAGTCAGTACACTTGGATAGGGAGCCATTCTATAAGTACTTCGCCTAAAAACGAAATGAAATATGGTCGTTCAAAAACTTCAGTGTATTATAATATTCTTGCCATAAGAAATCAGTGGGGACATCCGATGTATCCTCATTTGTGGAGTTATGTTTATATTTGATTCGCTTTCTACTGTTATCAATAAAGTAGAATTTTGAATTTTGGAGTGAAAAGTGTATCAATTCATCTTTCAAAACTCACAAAGTGTTGATATAGAAAGAAAAAATTCATATAATGTTTTGTGTGTTCATGGTTAGAATAACGTTTTTGCCTTCACTGCATCTTAAACAGCAGCAGTGAAGCTTAGCTGGGGAGCAAAAATTATAATACATTCTACTCATTAACTGAGTCACTCACTCACTCTAGCATTTATATTATTCTCATTTTCTACTTGATACACGAAGTTTCTAGATCATTACGTCATCATCGTGATTAGCTCCTTTTTGCAAACATATAAATAATAAAGTATTAAAGTTAAAGCTTACAACACTATTAAACTAGTAGACTGAATGTGAAAGTGTAATATTATTATGACTGTGAATAAGCTTCTGTTGTAAATACAATAATAAGGTCTGAGGCACATTAACTGAACAATAGTTTTATTATATAACTTCCCTGCACTACTGTTGTTCTAAACGCTAACGTTAGGCTTATTAGTATTATGAAAATTATCAACTTAACAAAGATTATATGATTTTGTGTAAAGTACCTTACTCAGTACTAAAACTACACGTATTGGTGAAAATAGGAAAAATTGACATATAAACTAACGAAGTTTAATTGACCTAACGTGTTCATTTTTAACAATAAAACTAATGTATACGAATGAAACATTTTCTAGGTTTCAAACATATTTCCTGCACTCCCATAATTTGTGTTTCTTTTCAAATGCCATCTAGTGGTTCAGCGGTAAGTCTCTTGACTTATGACGCTCAAAATCGGGTTTCGATACCCATGGTAGGCACAGTACAAATAACCCATTTTGCAGCGTTTTGTTTACAAACAAACGTCCTTTAGAATATTAGGATAAATTTTATTTTACATTATTTGTTGGTGATTATAGCCACTGTAGGCTTAATAAAATGTCTAAGTCTTGTATAACATTAAATACAATTCATTAGAAGAAGATACTGTAATATTAAATATGTAATGGTTGCTGTTATTCAAAGATGTATGTTGTATGTAGTAAGTGTGGACAGTATAATATTAATATATTCTAAATTATAATAGCAATAAATATTTTTTTATTTCATAATAAAGAACATGTCAGGCTTAATACTATGTTGTTTGTTTTTCACTCAATTTGTCTGACTGGCCACCTCAAAATGTCTAGCTACAAACTATCAACTCCTACAGGAAAAATGATGCATATGCTGTTTGCAGTACGTTAATGCACGGCTCAACAGTATACAAAGTGATACGAAGGTCGCAATAAATAAGTGTAAATAGGCCCAGCGATGTGAAGGTCGCAGTAAGTGTTGTTTCTTGGCGCTTATGTATAATGCCATAATAATAAATAACACAACGTTGAAATGGATACATAATTAAAAACATTTTTAATTCAGGTTAATCTATGGCCTTCAAAAAGTTAACTTTAGTTCTGTTTTATTGTTTCCCCAAAAGGGGGGCGAACCACTTGCACCACAATTCAGTAGTGTGTTATCTGTTTGTCAGTCAGTAGACAATAAAATGACGTCGCATAAGGGACGCTTAACGTTGTAATTTGTACTGTCGTGACGTCAGTAAGACGTGGGCATGCCATGAATCACGAGAAGAATTATATACTCTGTAGGCTACAATATAGCATGACATATGAACTTCAAAAGCAAGAAATAAAAATGTTTGTTACTGTTAATTTTGGTTTTATTTACTCTTGAAACAGAACACTTTCGGGGACCCTGCGGAAGTTCATCTAGTATTACCATCGATTAACTGAAAATTATACGTTGACAGTAAATCCTGTATGCTAAATTATGTTTGTCGATTTCGTTCGGGTTGTGTGAAGTAGCCAAACTTGGAAACATATTAGAAAGAGTTCAAACGTGCATTGTCGCACTAATAAATACCAATATCACGAAAGATGATGCGCCCAGTATTCTTGAACGTAGATAGATATTCGTGTGGGAATGAAGGGAGGATCTCAAATGGGCAGTTGGTTTGTCTTTTCTTATGTATCATCACCAGTGGCTTAGCGGTAAGTCTGAAAGCTTATAATGCTAAAATCCTGGTATAAATACCCGTGGTGAGGGCAGCATAGATATCCTATTGCGTTGCTTTGCCCTTAACAACAACCAAACCTTTTGCATAGCCCGGATACGACAATTCACATACCGAATAGTTTGAAGTTAGCACTGTAAGCTACGGATGTGTGAACTTCAGTTATCGTTAGCACAGACATTTATAGCTATACATTCATTGACAAGCCTAAATATTATGAACAGGAAATATAAAAGGTAAAGCATGCTGTACCTTTGTAGGAAAATGACTACAAATTATAAGATGTATTTTCATAGTCTTACGAGGTAGTAAGTAGTTTCTGTGCTGCTACGGAATAGAGAACATGGTACAGTTAGCAAAGGTTAAGTTTCTTGTCACAGCCGTCTTGTTTCTATCTGCTACTCATATTATAGCTCCACTTCCACCGAGCTGGATTTTGTAAAAACTAGTTGAGCAAGAAATGCACGTTTCAAAGAGGTTCTTAGTGCAATTCCAACTTCTTGATTGTAACAAGTGTTTGAACACTGTACTTTATAGGAGCTGTTTATCGGTAAAAAGAGCACACTTATTAAGAACCTGAAACTTGTGGATCTTGCGAGTGTCTGTATATGTTTCCAAATGTCTGACGAGATACGTCGATAAAGGTTTGGTATAACTACAGTAAGATTATGTGAATCGATATTAATCAAATTAGGTATAAATCAAAGATATTTAACTGGATACAATTTAAATTAATTATGTGGAAATAATCTGTGTAATGAGAAAGTTTTAGCCTCTAATTTCCACACGTTTTACTGTGTCCAGCAAATCGATATCTTGTCCTTTGTAGAAACTTATAAATGTACATGTACTATACATTTTACAGTACACTTAACATTTCTCACATGCTACTGCAGTGTAACATGTTATGCACGTCATGCATTACACATTAATATGTGACTCACGTAATACAGGTTAGTACAGTTTAACATGTCCTTTAAAATATTACAATATACGACTGTGGTCCTACGTCATACTAAACACGTTAACATGTCAGAAGTCATACATTTATCCAGTGATAACTTACATACGCTTTTTATGCTCACATTTACACCTATTATATTTGGTCTGCGTTAATATATTCAAAGATTACGTCAACTTACGTGTTAACCTACGAGTTATCTTCGACACTTCCTTTCGTTCAATCCTAACAACATTCGTGTACGTGCAACTCGTCAGGCGTGGGTAAGACCATCTGTGACAGTCAAAGTATGTCTAATCCTTCAGCTGAAATGTGGCTATTGTTATTATCACATTCACTGTTTGTACTGAACAGACTTATAACTGTGCTCTTTTAACTGTGATTTAACGTCACTTCTAATATTCCTGCACATCCTGTTTTTATGGCACGTGCTGTACGTTCTTTATATTCTGATACAAACAAAATTAGAAGTATTTGCATTATATTCTAATTACTAATGTATTATTTACTATACTATATAAACTAATTTATAATCTGTTTGTTTTAGAGCAAAGTCACATTGGGTTATCTGCTGTGTCCACAGCAGGGAATAGAACTCCAGAGTTTAGCGCTGTAAGTCCTCGGACTTACCGCTGTCCCACCGGGGAACTAATTTTATGGGTGTTCGATAATTCAAATAATTCAAAGCCATTGTTACTTTTACGGGTCAACTCTGGATAGCTATGACTCAAAAGGTATAGTTGTAATTTACCCCGTGGGTTATATGTCCCATAACTGTTTCAATAATGTTGTTCCCTTTCACAGTACGTTCTTTTTCAGAACACAACGTCGACCGTCTTCAGATTCTTTTGAAATAAACGATACGCCTCTGCTTTGATTGCTAATATAGTCAGGATCAAAACCTTTTAAACCTGAATTCATTCAACCTTTTAGACATAGAGCACACATACTCATAAATGAGCATGCGTATAAATTATATGTTAACACAGAATTTGTGTTTTACTCGATTGTATTGTGTTTTTACACAACCAAAAATAAAATAGCAAACTTATGTGCTCCCGCGTCCTGCTTAGCAACACTTATAACAAAAAATCCTAGCTGTTTTTGAAGACATTACATGTTCCTGTGTTTTTAACACCCTGTAAAAAAATAAGTCCAGCCATGTTCCTGTAGCCAACATAGGAAGTGTTACGAAACACGGGAAGCATAATAATTGCAGAAACATGGCAGGGCTTTTTGTTTTACAGGGTGTTAAAACACAGGAAGTATAACGACTGCAGGAACGTGGCTGGGCTTTTTTAATATAGGAAGTTTTACGAAACACGGGAAGCATAATAATTGCAAAAAAAGCCCAGCCATGTT